GGGCCGCCACCCTCCGGCCGCCTTCCGGGTACCGCGCAGCCCTGTCCGGGGTCTGGGCTGGGGGGTGGAGGGGGCAAGGGTCATCTGCCTGTCCCGTCTGGGCTGGGCGGGGCGGAGGGTCCCCGAGCGCCACCCCCAGGGGTCGCCTGTCCCTTCCTGTACGGGCCGGGCGGGGCGGGGCGGAGGGTCCCCGAACGCAGTCCGGGGACGCACCCGGGTTTCTGGACTGGGTGGACGCGCGAACTTCCCCCTCCGCCCAGGCCTGTGCCGGCCCGCAGATCGGTCCTGGAGAGACGTGTGGCTGTGGGTTTGCGTGATGCGCCCCAGGCGAGCACTGGATGCGTCCCGGGTGTTCCTGATGGGAGGACACACCGCTAGGCGTCCTCCCCGCCCTCCTGAACTGTCCACCTTGCGGTTACAGGAACCAGAAACGGGCGGAGGACACCTGGCGTCCTTCTCCCGGAAGGGGGCGCTGGTAACCTTATGTAATCCGAATTGTATCAACGAAGCGTGCATTTAGCAAACTCGGAGAATCCTACCCATTGGTGATTTTCCTGAACGCGGGCTCCGGGAATTAGTGCACCACCTTCCAAGCTCACCTGACCCGGTGGGGACTGACTTACAGAAGGCAGAGGAGTTTCATCTCCTTCTCAGATCATTTTTAAAAGGCTTCATTCATCATTTCAGATTCCACCCAGTTTTAAGACCCAGGAACAGACCAGTTAGCTGGGTATAAATATAAGGCTTTTCCTGAAACCAAGGAAACTGCAAAAGATCGTGATTTAGAGTCCTGTGTTCTGTGTCTCTGGTACTATTTAATAATTTTTTAACTCATGAGATGTCGTGATTGTGGTTTCATTCGTTATCAGGGAAAATCCATTCATGCCTAATCCAGAACACTGCAACTTATCGGAATTGTAGTTATTACTTTTCCTAGTATGTTCATGAACTTTCTCATGGGACCCTCGAGCCCCCTGCTCTGTCCTGCAGCTCCAGTGGTTAGAAGGGGCCAGCCTTCCCTGATCCCATCTCCTCTTCTTTAAACCAAGCTGTGTATTTTCATCTCCATTTTATTGGTCTTGTGTTCCAGTAGCTTTCAAAACCAGAAGCACTGGTACAATTGCTGGAGAACAGTTTCTATCCTGGACTCTACTCCTGCCTTGAGCCTGGTTGCAGATGGTGGTGAACCAAAGCCCTCAGGGGGAGAATGCTCTCACCTGCACTGGTGGTGTGTTCATTGACTGCAGAAATGAAAGCACGCCACGCGCCTCACAAAAATGTTTGAGGATTGGAGGCCAGTGTAGTGAATGTATATTTTAAATGTATATAATTTATACTATTTATAAATGTATATGTAGGTACTTGTATTCGGTAATTACTCGTACTGGGCCTGTGAGGAGGCCAGTCCCAGGAGATGAGTGTCTAGAAAGACAAGTCTTCTCAGGAGAAATTCAGGGTACATGTGGGGGGATGGGAGGTTTTAAGTGGAGGAGGACAGAGGGTCAGGGGTTCTCCGTACATTGAAAAACCTCGAGTTGAAAGAGTCTGAAAAGGTGTTCAAAGCATTTGCTTCTAGTGGGAGTTTGCTTCACCAGAAGGAGGCCCCAGGAAAGGAGAGTTTTTAGGGTTCTTGTCTGCAGTCACTGGAAACTTGAGTTTGTACCTCGATGGCTGTTTGGACCTAGGTGGGAAAGCTGGTCATGGGTCAAGACAGAAAGAGTGATGCTTGCTGGGAACCCACGAGCATCTTCCTGGCAGGATGCACTAAAGCGCGCTGAGCCTGAAACTCGTTGTAACTCTACAAGTTAAGGTCTCTTTAACTCATAATGTCAGATTATGAATCGGTTAGGTTGAGGCTATTTACCTATCCGGGGAAAACGATGAACAGAATCTAGAAAATTTGCTCCACAGTCAAGTTAAAATGGAAAAAAAAAGAAGTTTAAAACTTAAAGCAGAGTTATAAAGTGATCTGTGTGGAGCGGGCGAGAATCGACCAGCAACAGGGAGAGAGTAGACACATACTGAGGGCCGGGCGCTGTCGCCCTCGGATGTCGGTGACCTATTTCGGGATGGCTGAGAGCTCCCGTCAGCTGTGCAGGTGGGTGGGTGAGCAGCGGCTGTCTGAAGCAAGGTGTGGAAAACAGTATTCCGGGAATTGCACTGCGGACACAGTTGGAGCAAGTGTATGATTGATCAGCCTGTTTCTCCTGGCCCTGGGTTCAGAGATTGGTGGCAGGTTTTGTCCTCCGTGGCTTCTGTATTTTCCTAAGTTCCCCAGGAAGAGCCCTTACCTTGGAAGTTGGGTGGCATCTGTTACACTTGCCCACAAACCACCATCACATTGTTGTGGGGTGAAGCTGAGGCTCCTCCTGGATGATTGTGGGCTGCCTCACAGGATACCCGATGTGGCAGGAGGGACAGCGGCCCCTCCCTCTGCTCTTTACTCCTTGGAAGTGACCAGAGCTGTTGGATCAGGCCTGTTTCCCTTTGTGGTACAACCTCGGTGTGCACAGATGCTCAGAGATGCTCATGGCTGGACCACCTCTTATCCCTTTGGAGACCACAGACCCAACAATGGGGCCATAAAAGGTGAAGTGTCTACGTGCTAATACGCGTGTGACTCTGCATAACGTTTCAGGAGTTTCATCTTACAAATTCTCGCCGTGATGTTACATGCTACATTTTTTTCAAAAAGAAAAACTTCTAGGCACGTTTCTTTAGGTCTCAATAGAAGATGATAGCGTTTTACAGTGAATGAGCGTAACTAATGGGCCACAGGTGCTTGCTAGACACAGCGCCTTACAGTCGTGGTGGTTTCCTCCAAAAAGACTTTATCCAAGGATGCTTGAAAGCGCCATTTCTATCTACCAGAAAGATTAAGAGGTGAATGTGACGTAAGGTACTGCTGTTCAAGTGGTGATTTCTCTTGGCTCTAGCTTCACGCGCACTCTCCCAAAATGAAAATGCATCATAGCCTTGAGGTCTCGGGCCAGAATTTATCATTCATTTGCTCACCTGTCCACCGTTTATCTATTACTTTGACATTTACTCTGTATAAGGAGATGGGCTAGGTTTCCTGACTGATTCAGTGGAGAATAAGGCATGTGCTAACCTCGAAGAAGTTATAGCCTTGTATATGGAGATCGTTATGTTTAAACACGGAACTATAATCCATTTTCCAGCAAACAGGAGAATGTGAAGACTGGTACTAGCAAACCAGGCTGTTTCAGGCAGTTCGCCAAAGGGCAACTTTTTAATTCAATCTTTATTTGCACGCACACACACAAATACTAAATGACTGTACTTTTCTTATTTTACTTTGCATGTTAAATATGTGTGCACACTATTTTTATACAGATTCCAGCAGAACATATAAAAAATGCTTTGTCTAGGGAGCTTTTCCAAAGCGGTAATTTATAGAAGTACATCCTTTGAAAAACATTTTTTTATTCTAATACTGTTTTCCCCAACGGCAGCCTATGATATTTGGATTATCAACTGCCCAGGAGTGCTGGCCAGCGCACTGCCGTGTGGTCAGATGAACATCGCCATCTAAGGTTTACGGCTCCCAAGACTCCTAAGAACGTCTCAGCAGCGCTCCAACACAAACTTTTTACTTTTTGCTCATTCCTGGACTTACCCGCAACTTCCAGGAACTAAAAGCAGCGACCAGGAGAACATTTTGTATCTTTAAATCTGTTTGTAAAATGTATGATTTCTCCTCCACCAAACCTCGGAACCTGCTACTGAGGACTCTAAGAGAAAGCCTGAGAAGCAGAAGTGAGAGATTTTGGGCTGAGCGTGCCAGGCAGGAAGTGATCTTAGAAACCACAGTTGCTTCTTGGTGATTTCAATATGCAGCTTATCCCGTCCGTACCTGGGGCACATCCCAGGCGCACACCATTTGCTAAGTACATAGCAAATCACCACTGATAGAAGAAAACCCAGATACCAGAGGGGAAGATAAATCAAATTCCCACTGCCTTCTCGGCTCAAAAATACTGATGTGCAGCCCAGGAAAGTTTCTATCTCGTCTAAGGATTTCCTGCTGGCTGAATAACCACACCTTCCTCCAGATCCCAGCTGGGCAACCTAAGACACATTACCTATCCATGCCTCAGTTCAGGCATCTGTGAAATGGAGCAATATTAGCAACTGCCTGGTACGGGGTTAACTTAATTCATATAAAGCACCTAAGAAAACTGCTCGCATTCAGTTTAGCAATCCCTTCAATCCTGCATATTTAGGGTACCCAACAGTTGAAAATTTTCATTTTAGAGCCAAAGGTAATTTGGTCTTAAAGGATTTGCTTATTCCTTTAGAAACAGCTGAGCACCTGCAAGAAGAAAATGCACTGTTTAATTTACTCTCACTTATTGGCAGTCTGTGAATAAGACTGAACTGGTTCTTCTTCAAGAGGTGGTGTTAAGGACCAACAGATAGCTGAGACCCCCCCCACCTCCTACCCACCCCGGGGGGGGGGATTTTACTCTTACTTCGTTTTGAGGATGGTCATTTTCCTCTCAACTCACCCAACACAGAGAACAACTCCTGATTATTGTTACCAATAATTGGAAAGTTAGGGAAATTAAGATGCCCAGGAAAGAGGAGGAGCTTTCCAATCCTCTGGGAAAAAGGTTAGTTTCTCAGGAATTTTAAAACTCCCGCCCGATCTCTCTGTGAGATTGGCCAGGTCTCTTACCGAGTTACCATTTATCCTTCTTAGACTGAAACAGTTCTCTTGGTTTCTTGTTTTGAGCAAACAAGGTCCCTCCTTTCTGTTTATGGATTTGTAAGAATTGTAGAGAATTAATGAAATATCCCAGCTGGGCCAGCAAAGCAGCAGATTAGATGCAGGAGAGACCGCTCAGAAACATCTGACATTTAATCATTAGTTGGAATATGTGACTCCTTAAGCGTGTGTGTGTGTGTGCGTGTGTGCACACAGACACACGCACACACGCACACACAGAGGCAACTCTGAGTACATGAGATTCCAGCTTCAGAAGGAGGGCTGGCTTTAGAAGGCATGATAAAGGTAGCTTTAGGTGCAGGGCCTTAAGGTATGGTTTTGATTAGAGAGACTTAGGGTGTACGGTACACCCTAAGGTGTCAGAAGGACACTTTTTCTCTCATTTTACAATCCTAGGATAATTTCCTTAGGTTCTTTGGCCCTGACTCCCCTTCCAGGCAGGAATCTGGTGTGTCTTACTGTAACTCATCCGGTTAAGACCAAACCAAACAAAAATATGTGAAGATGATTATTTGTTCACAGATCTATTGAAAGTTTGTTTTGATTTATCAGTTCTAAGTGAGCCACCTGTTTTTCACTCGTCTGTGCCTTTCAAAGCTAGCAAATGATAGGTTTCCTGTATATCCCTCAAAACCGTACACTTTTTTTTCATAAACAAAATGAAGGGTCAGTTTCTTATTTAAAATCTTGTTTGGCCTTAGGATTGTTTCCTGTGTAGTTGACTGGTGTTCCAGCCTCCGTTGCCTTGTGTTGAGCGCATGCGCTGATTGGTTCTGTGACCGAGGATGTTAGCAGGATCTCAGCCTAGATGGACGGGGTGCGGTGTGTCTGTGAAAACCTGTCCTCGCCACTAGAATGGAATTAGACCAGGAAGTCACTCGAAAGAATAGTGATTTCCAGAAGTGAGATACAGGACTTTTTGGGATTTAAGTGATCCAAAACCACCGTTATGGAGACATAACTAGAGTCCTGTTGTCACAGCAAATAGGAGACGAAATGTTCTTGGATATCCTGATAATTTTATTTTACTATGAAAGCAGTCTATTACTTTCAGTAGATCCCTGGTAATATCTGATTCCATCAGACAGATTTGCTCCACATTAACCTAAGAAAATGTGAAAACATCATCTATGAATGACATTTTCTATCATCCAAAAGTTCTGTGTTTAAAGAGGGAAAAGGTAGAACGTGACAGTATTTAATTGAGCATTTTTATATTAGACACTGTCATATGTGTTTTCCAAACATTATCTTATTTAATACTCACACTCTGCCAGGTCAGTATTGCCCCATTTGCAGACAAAGACAATAAAGCCCAGAGAGGTTGAGTATACAGCCAAAGATCACACAGCAATATGGTATCTGTTTATGTGGTAAGACGTTTTGGTTAGTTACAAACTTAAGAGAATAAAGAAATCTACCGTGTGTGTGTGTGTAGACATATGAGAGAATTATGCTTTGCTCAGAATTCTTCGAGGGAGTACTTTAAATGTTATTAATGGTCTTGCAGAGTTGAAAGAAGGAGGTAGAGCTGAGAGGTGGGGAGACAGGTGGGTAGAGCCCCTAGGAGTTCAGAGGATTTTGCTCTTGCCAACAAGTGACATTGTAAATAGCAAGCAGTCTTGGCACAGGCTGGTGACAGCCGTAAAATGACAGAAGTCACTGCACCTGAGTCACATGGAAGTTCACAAATGGGATTCTTCTGAGAGCCGGCTTCTGGTTGAAACAGGCATTTCACAGATTCCCTCAGTCAGACTGAAGGACTGTCCTTTCATTCACTGCTGACATTTTATCATGAAAGGATTGTGAATTACGTCAAGTGCCTTTTTCTGCATCTATTGAAAATATCATATGGTTTTTCTCCCTCTTTTATTCCATCAACATAGTGTATGATGTTGGTGATTTTCAGATGTTAAACCTACGTAGATTTTTTAATGGACCTCTCTGGGCCGTGATGTATTGTCTTTTTATAAGTTGTTGCATTTGATTTGCTATTATTTTGCTAAGGATTTTACATCTGTAGTCATGAGGGCCACTGAGGTGTCATTCTCCTTCACTGAGATGTCCTGGTCTGGTTTTGAAATCAGGATTATACTAATCGCATAAAATAAGTTGCAAAGGATTCTCTTCTTATTTTCTCAAAGTGTGTATGATTGGCATTATTTCTTTTTTAATTGGGTAACATTCACTCACGAAAACATCAGGGCCTGGAGTTTTCTTTGTGGGATGATTTTCAACGAGGAATGTAGTGCCTCTCGTTGCTAAAAAGCTGTTCAAGTTTCCTGTTTCTTGGGTATCCAGATCTGGTCATTTGGGTCTTCCAGGGACTTGGTCCATTTCATACAGGTTATCAATCTTATTGGCATAAAGTTGTCAAAAGATTATTCTTCTAGTGCCAGAAGCATCTGCAGTAGCCCCTTCTCCCATCCCTGATACTGGTCCTTGACATGTCTCTTTCTTTTTCCTTCCTTTTTTCTGCATCACAGGAGTAGTGGGGAGAGTGTCTGGGTGCAGGGCTGCTCCGAGCTGCAGGTAGAGGAGAGACGATGGGAGCTCACTGGTCACAAACCTGCGTTTCTCCGAACAGGCCAGGCTCAGCGCTTAGTCACGGGCTGGGTGCAGCGGGTGGGGACCCCGGCCCGCTTCGTGCAGTCGTGTGATTCAGACACAGTGGTTAAGCCCCTGCGGGTGGAGGCCTGGGAGCCCATTCTCCTGACTCCATGTGCTCCCCTGTGCATCATCAAGGCCCTGCATTCCCAGTGCCTCCCCCATCACTCCACTCACAAAGATGCCAGTAAATACTACAGAATGAATGAATCCTCTGAAATCCTCAACAGTTTGCCGTCACTGGCTTTTGTCTGTCAACGTGGCCTCCTCACACCAGCTCTATTTTTATATGTATACATCTCCTTTCCAAATTATATTCAAAGCCTTGCTTCATCAAGGTTATTTTTAAATGTGGAAAACTCGATAACTATTGATTATTTCATCAATTAGCATAAGATTATGACAAGCCTCATTAATAATTTACTTAAAAATAAACAGCTTATTGTCATTTGCAGCAAAATAGATGGACCTGGAGATCATCATTCTAAGTGAAGTCAGACAGAGAAAGACAAACACCATATGATATCACTTATATGTGGAATCTAAAAAAAATGATACAAATGAACTTATTTACAGACTGGAAATAGACTTATAGACATACAAAACAAATTTATGGTTCCCAAAGGAGAAAGGAGATTGGGGGAGGGATAAATTAGGAGTTTGGGATTAACAGATACACACTACTGTCTATAAAATAAATAAGCAACAAAGACCTACTGTAGAGCTCAGGGAACTGTATTCAGTATCTTGTAATTACCTACAATGGAAAATAATCTGCAAAAGAATGTATATACATATGTGAAAAAAAAACCAGCTTAAAGCTATCAAGGGCATGAGACTTACACAGTGCAATCATGTATGTATTACTAAGTGTCTGTTCCACGCCGGGATGCAGTGAGTGCAGGGAGCGCAGTGGTGATGAGACACACCCGCCTGGCCCTCATTCTGCTCACAGGTTTCTGAGACCGACACACAGGTGCACAAGCCAACGCGGAAGAGCTGGGGTTGGAACTCACACAGCAGGGGTGCCCTGAAGGTTCACTGACCCACGCAGTTGGTCAGTGTTAGGACATTGGGACACATCTGTATAAAACACAAGCTAAGGGAATTGTCAGAGAACTCAAAGCTGAGAAATCCGTAAACAATGATCCAATTTTTCCCTTGGGACAGACAAACCAGACGATCTTTCTGGGCCATTTCAAGGATGAGTGTCTTTCCCCAAGCCTTTTTACCATAAATGAACTAGGGAGCGCTATACAGCTCAGGTGGAATCAGATTTATTTATTCATTCTTTTTTTTTTTCATACTTTATTCATTGTGCTGGGAAACCCAAAGATAAAAATGGCAACCTGTTCCAGGTTCATAATTGTTTGATCACAGGAGTGTCCACTGGGGACAACTTCCATTAGTGTCTAGTGTTTATTTGCAGTTTATTTTATTTTTCTCACTACATTAAATAAATATATATTTAATGTTTCAGCATGCTTGGTGAAGAGAATTATAAATGGTTAAGACATACCTTTCCCAGCCTCAAAAATTATTCCTGAAATCAGACAGTATTTTTAATACAAAACATTTATAAATGTAATCTGATTATTTTATATAATCTTTTACTCTGACTTGCAGGAAATAAATCAGGCTTTGACTTTTACATCTGAAAAGTATCTCCAAGTCAGTTACACACAAATGGCTCTGGAAAGTTAACAGGTGATATAAATCAGCGTGTTTTTTTTCCCCCTTTTAGGAAAGTCTTAACAGACATCGATATTTGAATTCTTTATTTCCTCGTGAAAACTCCACTGCCGTCTACGGAATAAACCAGTTTTCTTATTTGTTTCCTGAAGAGTTTAAAGGTGTGGTGCGATGTGGTGCTATTAGCTGGTTGGGTTCCTGATTTTAACTTATGCCCTTAGTTTTTGAGAATTGTTCAGTTGTGAATCTGGTGAATTGAGTAACATTAACATTTATTAAACACTAAGTGTCAAGCATGTACAGGTGCTGACAGGAAAATAAATTCATGGCCACACTCTTCAAATTCCTGCTCCAGATCTAAATAGTATAAATACGGACACTTCCCTGTGGCTCTGAGGGACAACAGCTTATCCCTTCCCCAGGTTTCCCTGCTATTTCTACTCAAGACACCATGGTTCCATGGGTTATGATGAAGCAGCTAATGTCAATTATAGTCAGTTTTATATTGACCTGTTTCTATCAAACAAGTCGTTTCATGTGACAGCTCCAATCCTATTATGGAAATTTGTATTTCTTGTAGTTTTCAGCTAATCCATCTCATGTTATAGAAAAACACAAATGGCAGATTTCATTAGCAACTTTATTGCTTCTGTAGAAAAGTTCCTCCAGAAAGAACCTCTATAATATAATGTTGATTGTCTTTTCCATGTTTATATGTTTATATACATGTTCCATGTTTATATCCAGCCATTTATTTAAGAAGCAGACCTTCCAGATTTCCCAGATACCCAGCGGACATGCAGAAAGCCATCCCTAACGTGTCTTTGCCGCTAAGATTTGACTGGAGGGACAAGCATGTTGTAACGCAAGTGAGAAACCAGCAGGCGGTATGTTTTAAGATTTTTTTTTCTTTTCTAATCATCTCAGCATGGGAGGTCACCTTTGAGGTCAAGTTCAATGAGACTTGCATTTCTGTAGGTAAAATCACACCCCATCAGCAAAAAGTGACTGTGAAAGGAGAATCCTGCTGGAAGGAGCAGATGTAAAAGTCCTACCTGTATTCTGAGGCGAGCCTTGCTGGCTGCTTCCCACACTGACACAGGGACACTGCCCCGTAGCTGTGCCAGGCCACCGAGCCTTCTGCAGACCCTCCGACAGAGGGCTGGGGGAGGCAGACTTGACTGCTAAATGCACAAGTAGTTCAAAAAGAGAACCACACCAAAAAAGTCACCTGGAATCAGATACCTTCACCACCAGAGTGCCCTGAGCCCTTGGGTGCTCATTCCTTGAGCGCCATCAGAAAACTTAGCCCCAGCCCCACCCGGGCAGGATCACACACATTTTATCTGTGATCCTTAAAGATGCAGTCAGCCCTGCTATAATGTGACATAAATGTTCCTTAAAAATCGCCCACTGTACAAAATCCTGCAATAAGGATTGCAGGAGAAGTGAAGTCAGGGTACAGCACTAAAAAAGTGCGTGACGCTTTAAAGAAAACACAGGAAAGTAATCCAAGTGTCAGGACAGTTTTACACGTGGTAAGTGATAAAGAAGTGAATCAGCACAGCAATAAATGCAGCCTTTTACCCTGAGCGAGCCTGTGGGGGTGGAGGCGGCAGGGGCTGCAGCTTGTGAGTCCTTGTAAAGAGTGTAAAATCAGGAGTTTGAGATTTGCAGATACTAACTACTACATATAAAATAGATAAGCAACAAGTTTATACTGTGTAGCACAGGGAACTAGATTCAGCATCTTACAGTAACCTATAATGAAAAAGAATATATGCATGTACACATATGACTGAATCAGGATGCTGTGCACCAGAAACTGACACATTGTAACTGACTATACTTCTGTTTTTTAAAAATGGAAGAAAAAAAGGGTGTAGGTGGGTGTGCACCTCCCCGGTGGTGAGCCCCCTGCGCTGGCAGCTGGTGGAGGGCAGGTGTGCGTGCTCTGCGCCCCCGCCAGGCACACGGAGTGTCTAGTGCTGCGGGAAGTCGGTCCCTGGACACAGGGACGTGGTCTCAACTCGTCTGCATTGGGAACCTCAACGGGCCGTTCAGCCTCCTCTCGTGAGGCCCGTGTCCTGAAGCCGGCGCTTCCGTCTTGTTGGGATGATCCTTTTTTATGTCTCAGGTTCTGTACTGAATGTTGTGCATTCAATGCCACCACCAAATCCTTTGCTTTATTATTGGATCCATAATCAAATGTGTGGGAGTCTGAAACCATCCAGGAAGTGCCTATATTGTGTGAAAGGGGAACTTTTAACTAGAAATCCCTTTACTAGAGGAAGGCCCTCCTGGGTGGCTCTGGGGAGGTGACCTAACGCTAGCCATCACTTTAGTGTCAGGGTCTGCACTGACATTGCTCAAGGGGCGGAGACCCTGCAGTGGAGTCCCTGAGTGGAGGTCTTGCTCTGCTCTGGGGACAGACACGCAGTAGGTAAGACCGCTTGAAGCCGCTCAGAACTTCACTCCACAGAGACGGCCAGGTGCCCCTCCTTTCCTGCAGCACGTGGGGCCCAGTCGGTTCTGCCCAGCCTCAGCCCTGCTCTCATCCCTGCCTTCTCTGTGACCCTTCATTCTTGTGTGAAATCCCAAGGACGTTTCCTCCACCTCCCCCCTTGCTTCCAGGACCAGCACTTTATTCTTCTGGTCTTGTTTGTCCGAATTACCAGATCCAACATCAGGAAACTCGTCAGCCAGTATTTCAGGGAGGAAGGATCCGTATGGGTTTCCACTGTGAGACGTTTCGATGCATTCATGATGTGCCCGCGCTGGCAACCGGATAGACTGGAAACTCGTTCACGGAGCCCTGTGTCCGTCAGATAAGGACTGCCCCGCGGGCACCTGCAGCCTCACCCCCGCCTCGCTGTCCTGCCGCCCCCGGGGGAGCTGGTGAACCGCACAGCAGCAGTGTCGGGGTGACGCCTGGAGGGGGCGGTGGGGGGTACACTTCTTCAGGACAGAGGCCACCTGTTCAGTGACCTGATTCACTTTTGAAAAGGCCTTCAGTCCAAGCGTCTCCCCAGTCTCTAAAACTCACTTTGATTTTGCGTTGTCCAACTTACAGTAGCGACACCGCCCATGTACCTTGCATCTGTGACTAGATTTTGATGCTTCTAAGAGATTTGGTTGTCTTTTCTCTTTTCCATTGGAAAATCTCCAGGGTCAGCGTCTGTGCTCTGCCGGCCTCCGGACCCTGCTCACTTGACCCGGCTCGCTCGCGCGGGACGTCTAGAGGCGCGGTGAGCTGGGTGTGGGGGCCCTGGCTGACGGGCACCGCTCTGTCTCCCCGGCCGCAGTGCGGCGGCTGCTGGGCTTTCAGCGTGGTGGCGGCCGCCGAGTCCGCGCGCGCCAGGGCGGGGCAGCCTCTGGAGGCCCTGAGTGTCCAGCAGGTCATCGACTGTTCCTACAACAACTACGGCTGCAGCGGAGGGTCCACGCTCAGCGCCTTGAACTGGCTCAGTAAGGTGCCTGCTTTTTTTAAACTGCCTGTTGCACGTCTGCTCAGAACTCAAGACAGTTCACTCTCACATACAAAGTAGTGTTTTCAGGTTCGGAAACGTAGGTGAGCCAAGCTGGAGTCCATCACAAGGTTTAAGGATAAGTCGCTTTGGTGGTTCTGGGTCTTGTGCGATTCCATGTAAATTTTAGGATCACGTGTCCTAGTTCTGTGAAAGTTGTCCTGGGTGATTTGATGGGGATCGTGTTAAATCTGCAGTGGCAGTGTGGCCATTTTAACAATATTGATTGTTCCAACCCAACAGTGTGGGATATCCTTCCATGTCTTTAAGTTTTCTCTGATTTCCTTAATCAGCGTTTCATAGTTCTCCACATGTAAGTGTGAGTTTGGGATTAGCACATACACACTACTATATATAAAATAAACAAGGTCCTACTGTACAGCACAGGGAACTATATTTGATACCTTGTAATAGCTTATAATGAAAAAGAATATGAAAAGAAATATATATGTATAACTGAGTCACTATGCTGTACACCAGAAACTAACACAACACTGTAAATTGACTATACTTCAATTTTAAAAATTTTAAAAACGGGGAGGGTATACCTCAGTGGTAGAGCAGATGCTTAGCATGCACGAGGTCCTGTGTTCAATCCCTAGTACCTCCTCTAAAAATAAGTAAATAAATAAACCTAATTACCTCCCTCTCTCCTGCAAAAAAATAAAATAAATAATTTTTTTAATTTTAAAAACACATAAGAACATTAGATTATGATATTCTACAGCAGGAAAAAAATGAAAAAAAAAAAAAAAGAATCACTTCCGGGCAGGTCAGCCATGGAGAAATCAAAATGTGAAAAACTTACCTGAAGTCTGTTTTCAGAAAATTATTTAACATTGCTTAATAAATGCTTTTTTGCAGATATATAATAATGCATAATGACCCAGAAAGATGAGGGTGTATGATTATTCAGTTCCATAGGATTTCTGATTAAGGTTAATGTTAAGGTTAAGGTTCTGAAAATTGAGGTTAAAAGGGACACTGGAGATCAGCAAAACGTGCAGCTCTTTATGGAGATGCGGAAATGAGCCCTGAGAGGTGAGGTCCTGTTGCCAAGCCAGTAGCTGAGATGGAAATGCACCCTGGCCCTCTCCCCTCCTCGTCTCCGGGGGCTTTACCCAGGTACACTCTCTGACATCCTCCTGGATTCAGCGTCAACTGGGCGAGACCAGCCAGAGAGGGTGCTAGCAGGATGTGTAGACACGGTCCTCCACACTAACATCCTTCCCCACGCACCCACCGTGTTCACGTCCCCACACACCAGGAGCTGCTCTGTGTGTCACACGCGACAGTGCGTAGCGTGCCCCTCACTCCCGGAAGCCCAGCGTTTGGAGGGGAGGATGCTGGCTGGACAGCTCTGAACTTCGTGGTCCACGCCAGATGCAGGGGCAGAGGGAAGTGGAGAGAAGGATGCTTGTGAGGTGGAGTGAGCCTCAGTGGTGGCCGGTGAGCGTGAGTGACACTGTTGCACCTGATCAGTAGATCGGAGGTCCTAGGAAAACGAGGCTCAGGAGAAACAGGAGCAAAGGACAAAGAAAGACATCGAGGTTAATTACCTAGGACGTCCACAAAAAACACCAAAAGCTTGACTTTATAAGATGTTAATAACTCCAGGAATACCCACATGACGAAGGTGGCCAAGCGGAATCTTACTTCACACATTGTAACAAGTTCTATTTCATTTTTAAAGCAGCCTTGTGACGGAGAATATGTGGGGTGATTGTTTTCCTTTAGATGCAAGTGAAGCTGGTGAGCGACTCGGAATACCCGTTTACAGCCCAGAACGGCCTGTGCCGCTACTTTCCAGCTTCACATTCTGGATTTTCAATCAAAGGTTATTCCGCGTACGACTTCAGGTATGTGTCTTCTTCTGTTGTGTTCTCCGTGTTTCTTAATTTACTTTCTGTGGACTGTTTGGAATTAATAACTTGATTGACTACATCACTGCGTACCCTTAATTGTTTTAAAACCGACTTTTTACTGGAGACGAATTGGTGATCACCATAGAGTTCTAGAGATGCCGTTTCTTAAATGCGATCTAATTATTTTCCCATGGGTCATTACAAATAGAAATAGCAAACTTAAAGTCACACATTTAAATCCAGTTTAAGGTATAATTGACATTTACATCTCTTTCCAAATTTAAGTGTCCCGGTTACCCTTAGCATGTTTCAATCTTACTCTTGAATCAACAAAAATCACTTTGTGTGGACACTCTGGCTAATGCCAGGCAGTCTCCTTACCAAGAACCCTCTGTATTGCTGGCATCTTTCAAGTCACCAGCTGGGAGGAAGGCGTAAACTGAAGTTCTCCTCCCAGGGCCGAGAGGGGAGAGCATGCTGAGGGGTCAACGAGGTCATGCACCCAGAAGCGTGAGAGGATGCAGGGGTCAGGGGGACTGGAGAGGAAGGGGACCGGGGTGGGAACCTGAAGGTCACGGTGACTCTGGACAGGCTCAGGGAAAATAAACATTAGAAAATGCTTTAACAGCACATGAGAACTCCAAGTGCCTAGGGGTCCTTTATGACCATTGCATGTGGTGCAAAATAGGTGCTCAGGGTGACAAGGACAGAGGAAGATTCGCCCAACTTCTGGCTTCTCTTAAAAAAAAAAAATGAACAGAGCTTTGCACAGTCTTTTAAAACAGAGAAAATAGAAAGATTAAATTAAATCCATCTAAGGTGACAGACTGCCCTGATGCTCACTGAATGTACTCTTGGTCCAGTTGGTGTCTCCCCGTGGGTCTGAAAGAAGTCCAGGGTGAGATTGGGTCCTTGTCCAAAATGGACCCTCTGATAACCATCTGTGAGTCAGGGGACGGGCTATTGGTCCACACGGCTCCCGTCTGCAGGAGGGGCTTTCAGGGAGACTAGGGACCATGTACCAGGCACCTCGGTTCTGAGAGGGCAGGACACACAGAACGCATGATGGACGTGCAGTCACTGAGCACACTGGTCCACACCTCCTTTGAGGGTGAAGATAACGCACTTTCTAAACGGGAAAGTGAGTTCCTGGAGAATCTAGGTGAGGCGTGTGCAGACAAAGGAGCCAGATCTTCAAAATGTCATGAGAAAAGACTCAGGGAGTCCCTTGTCCTGAGAAGCAAATTGGAAAATATTAGGAAGAAACAAGAGAAAAGGGATTGGTGTGAGTTAGAGAGACAGTGAGAGAGGGAGGGAAGGAGGTGGGAGACAAGGCAGCAGTCGCTGCACTGGGCTTGAAACAGGAGTCACCCGGCCTTTGGTTAGACAGGAGAGGCCCCTAAAAAGTCCCCATGTTTGGCTGGGAAGGGATAAGTTTGGAGTTCGGGATTAACAGACACACACTACTGTGTATAAAGTAGCTAAACAACAAGGCCCTACCGTACAGCACAGGGAACTCTATTCACTACCTTGTAGTAACAAGACAGTTAGAAATGCCTGCTTACAGATCTTCAAAACAGATCTTTACGTTAACAGGTAACATGAGTAAATGTTTCGAGTGAATGTGTGGTTTCTATTTCAATAAATTCCACTGTTTTGCACTCGTGTTTTTTTCCTCATCTGTGCACAGAATATCCCCTTGATGGAAGCTGATCTCTGGCTGGCATGATGAGGGATTACTCATTCTTCAAGCCACTAATTCACCGTGGTTTGCTGCAGCCATAAATTCCCAAATGCTATCTTAATGGCCTGAAATATCAGTCACTTGGCTTCAGTGTCCTGCACCCACATAGCTGAACTTTAAAAATGTAAATTAATGGTCTAATCATGTCCTTGTAAGATCCATGAAGGCGGAGTACTGTGTAATGTCAGACTTTATCAGTACAAGTCCGCGTGCGAAAGCAGTAACTATCTCTTGCCGTCTTCACAATTTGCTCCTAGTTCTGTGGCATCTTAACATTCTCTACCCCAAGATTTTATTCACCTCTTTTGGGTAGCCCTTCCCTGTAATTTCTTTATTTGATGTTCACTAACTTAAGTTGGCTGGTCTCGCAATTCTTCCTGGTGTGGCAGAGATGGCGAGATATCTCCACACATCCAGGCTTTCCATTTTCCTTATTAAAGAATCCCCATGTTGCAGCTGGGTACTTTGTAGCCAAAACTTTGTTTCCCATCTTCCTTGAAGCTAGACGTGGCCATCTGTCTGAGTCGTAGCCACTGAGACCCATGCAGATACATACAGAAAGTGGGATCGCTTCTGGGATCTCAGCAGGGATGCAGCACTTCCTTTTCCACTTTCTGCTGTCTGAAATACATGTGAAATGGCTGGAGCTCCAGCAGCCATTGTGGACCATGAATTGACCTGGAGAATGGAAACCTCATATACAACCAGCTGGGTTTCTGGTGTTCTGGACTCCCACAGCCACCCTGGACTGCCAACCTTACAGACTTTTTTTAGCCTCCATCACTTAGGTCTTGGTAATTGCCACCAAACCTACCCCTAACCATGTTCAGATTAAATAGATCACTTTGATAAGATATTTTTACCTTGAAAATGAAACTTCTTAACCCAACATTTCCTCTTTTGGTAGTGACCAAGAAGACGAAATGGCAAAAGTGCTCCTTACCTCAGGCCCCCTGATAGTGATAGTGGATGCAGTGAGCTGGCAGGATTACCTGGGCGGCATCATACAGCATCACTGCTCCAGCGGGGAGGCAAATCACGCCGTTCTCGTGACCGGCTTTGACCGAACAGGTGAGTGCTAACAAGACTTGATGGCTGCTTTCCAGCTTGACCTGCAGTTTGACAAGTGGTTGCTAGTCTTTAAAATGCTGAAATTGGTCCTGTTATCGCTAAGTCCTCATAACCTTACAGTTTTTCTTTTTTCTGTTTTCTTTTTTTTATTTCTTTAAAAAAATTTTTATTGAAGTGTAGTTGATTTACAATGTTAGTTTCAGGTGTACAGCAAAGCAATTCAGTTATACATATACATACATATATGTTTTCTTTTCAGATTCTTTTCATTATAGCTTATTACAAGAAATTGAATACAGTTCCCTGTGTTGTACAGTAGGTCCTTGTTGTTTATCTATTTTATATTCAGTAGTGTGTTTTATATATAGTAATGGTTACCAAGGGGAAAAGGGCAGGGAGGGATAAATTAGGAGTTTGGGATTAGCAGGTGCAGCTTTTCACTAGACCTGCAGGAAAAAACACCTGTGGGTTCCCTTTGGCGGATGCCTTGTTAAACTGCTCCTAAACTCTGATGTAAATAATGTGCCTTCTCAATCTGGAGTATTTAGAATAACTGTTGGGAAAATAAAGTGCATGGTATCATATTTATCTAATGATTAATTTTTTTCCTTTTTCAAATTCCCTGGAAATGTGTGTGTGTGTTTATTTTGTGCAGTAACCATATCAAGGAAGCAAATTCAAACATATTTTCCATTGATTGGCTTGTGACACAGCTCATGTTTACTTAGCTAAATTTGGCATAAGTTACATTTTTTTAATCTTTTTTTTAGAGCCACTATACTTTTCCAAAACCAAACTTTAAATAAGCATTCTTTTACCACAAATATATTCTCTGGGGTTTGTTACCATTCTATGTTTTGTAGGAAGTCCTCCATATTGGATTGTGCGGAACTCATGGGGAAGTTCGTGGGGAGTTGACGGCTATGCCCACGTTAAAATGGGAGGTAACGTTTGTGGTGAGTCATGAATTTACATGGTACACTCCAGGCTGAGTGTCAAGGAAGGGACTTGGAGTGTATGAAAATCACAAACCTGTCCAGTCCGTCTTGTGTGCCCAGGGTACCCAAGTCACCTTTACAGTAATAACCTTCATCCTTTAGCCAACTGATAAAACTAAAATCATGTTTAAAAAAAAGACACTGCTGCACATAACCCTGTTTTCAAAGAGGGAAGGGACTGTAGTAAAAAACCAATATAATGAGCAAACCACTGCAAGATATAGTAATAGTTTACCCAAGTGAACTACTTTGAAAACCAGAAAAGTACTCGACTTGGGGGGCTGAACTTCCCCAAAACTGTCTCCGAGTTCCAAATTTGCTTCGTATAGCTGTACGGTCTTCCATTCTTTTATGTATGATAACACCTAGTTAGGATCATCAGGAATCACCTTTTCTTGGTATCAAAATGGATGCAAATCCGAACATTCAGATTGTTTCTGGTTTAATATGCCCCTTGTCACCTACAACCTTCTAGCCAAGCACCCACTGGAATAGAGAGGCTTAAGCCAATAGCACACATGCTCTTTTATTGAATAACAACATTTTTTTGTTAATTAACAAGCCAAGTTAAAAATAGCTATTTATGTCTTTTCACCATATTCTAAAATCTGTACTCAAACTGTATTCTAAAACTTTTGATCTAGAAAATAGCATATTTTCCAAATCAGGCTGGACTCAAAACTATATTGTGTATGAGAGAAATCATTTAATTTCTTGTTAGCTCTTACATATATACAACTTTTAAAAACTTTACAACAATCCAGATGGCGATATTTATGATAGAAGAGACTTATGGAAAAATTTGAGAGTTTATGTTTTGATTCAGTCAGGTGAGGACTGCCCAATTGTTCCATAAAGTGGAATCCATGCAATTTAATACATGGCCTGTCCCATCACCCCAGTAAAACATGTTCCATAAACTATGTATTGAAAGGAGTCAACATCCTAGGAATCTTTCAGCCAGCAACCCAATCAGGCCTCGACTTTTCAGCATCACTGGGGGGTTGACATCATCAGAAAATGCAGATGAATTGATGCTGCCACTCCTTGAACCCCCTGCCACTAGCCACAACTTACCTCAGCACGAAAGGACACAGACCCCAGCAGCAGGGCGGAAGCGATCAGCATCCTTCTCCAAGACAGGACTTCACTGTGATTGGCTGTGTCTTTGAAATCTCTTGAGGCCATGGAAGCCCATCTGCCTTGCGCCACTGTCCATAAAAGTGATGTGATCACGGTCGAGGACCGAAGCTGTGGTTGGAGCGGGGTCTGGGTTACAGTTATCTCCCGTGCACCTGCAGTGCCGGTTCTGGGCTGAGGGCAGCCACCTTTACAGCCCTGGCAGGAGAGTTGCAAGAATATAATTCAGTTACAGGCTCATTATCGCCTCAGTTAAGTCCACAGCCTCTTCCCCAGTCCCCAGCCATAAAGGGTGAGTTCAGATAATTTCTCCTCTCCACCCATTTCCCAGTTTCAGTCTCCATCTCCTGCCTGGTTGACTAGTACTTATAAAGGAACTCAAATCCTTTCCTGAAAGTTAAATCCCTGATGGTGATCACATTACTCTTATATACAATGGCCCTGAGAGATTTCAAAGACACAGCTAATCACAGTGAAATCCTGTCTTCAAACTGGATGTTTAATCACTTCCACCGTGATGCTGAGGTCTGTGTTCTTTTGTGCTAAGAAAATGGTAGCAGGCTGGTAACTTATTGAAAGTTTATTAGACTCCAAATCTTAGAATTTAAATCTTCAAATTGTATTTAAAATAATCCTAAAAATAATTTTACTGCCTCTAAGCAATATATATATATAGTGCGATACATTTCAGATACATTCACCTGTTCAGTTAATAAGTTGTTTGTTTGTTTCTTTGGTAGTTTCTTGAAACAAAAATATGAGGCATCTCTTCTAATACCTGCTTCTGAGGTTGCCGTGTTTACACTGACAGGTGGTTGTAACCAGCAAATTACTTTCTTGATAGATATTAACTCTTTCTGAACCTAAATGAAAGTGGTTTCAATTTGCTGTTTGAAAGGCAGGTAAGGAAGAACAGGGCGGTACTGACCATTTCTTCTTCTCTTAGGCATTGCGGATTCTGTTTCTGCTGTGTTCGTGTGAGGTCGAGAGACGGCTGCCAACCTGAAGGTTCATAATGAGGTGTGGTGCTTCATTCTTGGCATTTTTGGCCTCCTGGGCTTAACAGCTACCCACCGAAGGTTCTAGAACCTCGCAGTATTCAAACTGACTTGTAGGGTGTTCTCTTCTCACGGAGAGAGGGACATCCCGGGTTGGTAGGGAGAACGCCAGCATCTCGTCCTGGGAGCAAGTCTGTGGGAAGGTTCCCTCCTCAGAGGAAGGTCAGACTGGGGATATTTTAGGTCTCCTCGCTTTGAAGGGGCTGTTACCTGGTTTCGTTTGACGATTGCTTTGGTTGGCTGTTCGTTTATTTTTAGTGGCATACTTGCGGTAGGATTGGAGAGGTGACAAGAACTTCTTTTCCTCATGGAATATAATGGCCAGCCCCAGCCGCCCGTGTACATGAGAACAGCCAGCCTTGAAGGATGTGCGCCTCTCACAGTTGGATGTGCGGCCCTCCGAGGTGAACTCTCGTAAGAATTTTCAAGTGCCAGTTGCTTTACCCCAACAGACGATGCTTACCCCTTGGCCTGTGCAGAGATCACGTAGAAAGAAGCAAAAGACAAAGCCACTTTGAAGAGAAGCAGCCAGCCCGACTGAAATTAGATGACCGATATGGCCGCCACGAGACAGGAAAGTCTTGCGTAGCTTTGCCTCGGAGACAGATTGCTGTTTGGAACTTTCCCTGCCAGTAGGAGTCCAATAGATCTTATTTCCGCCTTTGTTCTCCCTGGATTGAAGAACAACGTGTCTGCCCGTATTTCTCACTCTTTCTCTTGCTCTTGACTGTGAAACCTCTCAATTTTCCTGGTGGTCTGGCCCCCCTGGCCACCAGGAAAGAGGGATCATTGTTTACTTTCCATTTCCATTTCATAACCATTTATTTGGCTCCATTTCTCTAAGCCTTTGTCCACCTCAGGACCTCACTCAGTTGTTCCTCCACCACTTGGAGGCACCACCCTTTTCAGAGTTCAATCTCATTAATCTGGGATGTCAGCCAACATGTGAGTTTCCCAGCCTCTGTTTTCCCAGTTATCCCCAGACTCCTATCCCAAAGGAGCTTTTGATGCTCCCTTTGGCTGTCCCCTGGTCCTGGGTTCCTGATGTCCATCTGTCGCTTCTCTGTCACCTGTGTGGCTGTGTAAGAACCCAGAGCATGAAAAGCTCTCTTCTGGACTATAGGTTCAATGGTACCATGTGCGCAACTGTAAGAAAGTTGTATCAAGTAATACACGTACACGTATCTCTCCTCTAAAACTCATGGTTGCGTTCCAATGTAGACCATCTTAACAGAAGCAAAGTTGTGAAGGTTGCAACAACCGCTGAAAAAACAATTGAGAACATCCCATTTTTTCTCTCACTGTTGGCCTTTATTTATCAAACCTCTTATTAGAGAAAGAAAAGCAAAAGCAAACACTGTATTTCTTTCTTTTCTTTACACCAACTGAAAGCAGTTTAAAAAGAGCGTGTGTTGACTCGGGTTTGGAAATGTTCCAGAATGACAAATTGATATACAATTTGGTGAATGCTCTCCTTATCCAAGTATGCCAGAAAGGAACTATGTCTTGGTTGGTCTAGTTTGTGTTAATTTACTGATTTCTGTAAAATATGAACTCTTTTCTGGTAGTCTTTTACAAACGATAGATATTTTTAATTACAAGGTGTGCCCTACCTCTCAGCTCTTCTGGATTCTGATGACGTTTATAATAAAACAACCTGCATTTGACGTTGGATTAAGAAGCCTCTGTCCACAAGTGTAGCGCTGACATTTCGTGAACACAGTGTTAATGTGCTTTACATTCACACAAGAGTTTTCTCAGCTCCGAATCCATATATTTAATTTTTGGTTTTCTCCATAGACACCTTAACCTTCCCTTCTCCCTTAACTTCCACAAAACAAACAAACAAATAAACAACAACAACAAAAACTCCTGCACCTCCTGGTGTCTCCATCTAGTCTAACAGTATCAACGTGATGTCATCACTGAATCGGTAAAATTGAGGGAACTCTTCGATACCGTGTCAGGTCAGCCGTACCTCAGCCACCCCTCAGTCACCTGCCCCCTTTCTGTCTCTCCTGTCCCTTTCCCGGGGCATGTTCCTTCTTCAGTGCCTTTCAGCTCCGCTGCTCTGTATTCTCCCCGCTAAACCCGTGTCCCTCAGTCCAGAAGGTCTCCAGGCACAGCCCCCAGACCAGGACTGAGAGCACTGAGAGCTCTTTGTTTTGTAAGCCCTCCAGGTGATTCCAGGTTACACTCCCATCTGCTAGATGTCCCCTGGACTTGCATTTCTAAAAGACACCATTATCACGGTTATTCCTCTGTTTTAGACCATTCAGCAGCTCCCATGCCCGAAAGTAGCAACTCTTTAAAGGAGCTTTCAGGAAGAAGCTCTGCCCTCTTCCCCAGCCTCAGTAGCGATAGTGTTCGCTGTGGGCATACGCTGTGCTCCAGCCACAGAAGGCGTGTGACGTTCACCCAGCGAGGCTAAGAGGAAAGCAGTGAAATCATCCAGTAATGATTGGGAGTAAGAATGAAGATAACCAAGATGTTCCTGGGTGTGATTTCACAGGCGTCTCCAAGTGAGTCCTGAGGTAGGCAGCCTTACAGTGGTGCTGTGAGTCACTTAAGAATTATCTGAAGTCGATTGCCAGGATCAGAAGCAAAATTAAATGGGGGCAAGATTACTAACTGGGATATAAATTGTTTTGACATTTACATTAAGAATCACTGCTACATCATTTGGGGGGAAAAAAAACTCTTGCAACTATATAGTTTAGTTGCACCAAGAAATATAGATAAAAATAACTAAATCAAATTATTTAGTCTTAATTATTAAAAGAATAAGCCTTGAAAAATAGCATTTATTCCAAGATCTCAAGGCATCTTAGTGACAGAACATCCATTAACATATTTCTTCATTATTTCTTTTCTGTGTGTGTGTTAGCTAAGTTTATTTTAAAACAAAGGCAAATTATAAAACTATAGTATGAAATAATAGATTATAAATATAGACATATATGTGTCTGTCTTTCTATCTTTTTTCCAGTTTTATTATGTAGAATTATTACAGTGCAACTGCACATACACATTATATTGCATGTAAATACATATACACAGCATACTGCACATTTTTTTAGTTTTCATATAGGTACTAATTGTTTCTAAGAACAGATTCTATCTTTAGCTTTTTAAACTTACGTTATCAAAGGAATAAAGCCAACTACAAAATAAATATCAACAGAATGCAGTAAAAACAAAGATGATGAGATAAGTATGTTTATTCTCATTATACTGGTAGGAGACTGGGGCTTAAGTTGGTGATTTGTACCAAAGCAAGAAATTAATAGATGGTTTGCTCTCAAGTTTGCTGACTTATTTCAAAGTGAGTGCCTTTAGCCCCCATGTTACTTGTCCCTGTATTTTTCCAGCTTAACCCCCATTGCACTCTTTGTACATGTACATACACACACACACACACACACACACACACACAGAGACACCCCCCAAAGCCATGTAGGCAAAAGCAATTATATATCATTTAGAGACGAATTAGACAATGTGACCCATAAGAAAAACTTGTGATTGAGACCAAAGAATAGCTCGGTTCCACCAAGAGCTTGCTGCTCGCCCTAGATAATCGCCCCAGAGCAAGGCTGGCGAACACTCCAGCATTTTTGATGAGATTTTGTACTCCCCTCATAACAGAAATTTAACTAAGGATTGCCAGACCAAGCTAGAAAGAGAAGAATTAAACTCATGTCTGATCTAAAATCTCAGTCTAACCCTCCTTACTACAAATGAACTGGGTCGTTGTCTAGTCTGTCTACCTCTCCGTTCTTCTGGGAAAAAAACATTCCTTGCTCCCTCAATTCTGCTGTGCATTAGGGTGGCTCTGCCTCCCAGACCCTGAGCCCTGGAGCTGGGAAAAGCACCTTTCCCTTGTGGGGGTCCGGAGGTGCTGGGAGCGGGCACCCAGCCTGAGGGAGGAGCCCGTGTACCACAGGGAAGAAGAAAGCCAACACCTGCAGAAAAGAAGAGGGGAGACAGAGGGTCCTCAAAGTTCCAGGAGTGCCATTCTCCAGGAACTGAGTCCATCCCTGTGGGCTCAGAGCTCCCCAGGGGCCTCCCAGTTCTCGGAGCTGGTGGCGTCATTGTCCGGTAAATCCCTCCCCCCGCCCCCAGGTTAGTTTCAGATAGATTTCTGTTGTGAGCATCAAGTCCTAACATACACAAGCAATGTTTCCAAAAGATCATATGTCAAAAGGCTAATTTTTATTATTTAAAACTTTTGATTGAATAAGCCTCTGTACAGAATGCATATTTTATTGCATGAAATATTTGAAATAGCTGAAGTTTACAAGCTTATAAAGTGTGAAATAATGAGATGATGATTACATTAAACGGTTACATTAAAGTGAGTATCTGAGCCATTAAGTTTTTAACAGGGAAACACTCTGTGTATAAGTTACAATTTACCTGGGTTAATTTCTTATCTTAATGCTTAGTCTCATATCCTCACAAACAGGAGGCGATAAAATTATTCCTAGGATTGAATCAGAGCGCCACAGTGATCAACTATGTATGTACATATATCACAGTAGGAGTCTATATTCACGAAAATTCATAGAAAGTGAAAAAAAAACACAGACTGAGAAATCCGTGTTCTTCATAGATTTCTGCAGGTGGTTTTAGTCTGATTCATCGCTGCTGAAGTAGGAGCTGTCACAGTACTCAGCCATGTAAAGGAACTTATGAACAATTGGGTTCATCTTCGGAATCCAGTGTCGGGGAACCAGATACGTTGAAAGATTAAATAAATCTACAAATACCTTGTACCTGTCACTGGAAAAACACATGTATACAGATGTTTTAGACTTATTGACATGGAATATGGTAAAATTTCTCAGATAATTATTATTTTGCTCTAACATTCAATGTTACATTCTGTATTATATGTTACATGTTGTGTATATTAAATAGTATTAGTTTTAATTTGCTTCATTTTTAGTCCACATCCAAAGGTCACACTCATAAAGCAATATTACATGTTTCAGTGAGCTGGGTCAGGCTGTTCCAGATTAGAACCCAGAGTTGTTTTATTATCATGCCACCTTCGTAAAGATAAAGGTGTGTCCTCAATTTCTCACTTTTAAAGGATGGTGTGCCAAAAAAATTAAATGTAAAGCATCCGTGTGCCTAGTTGTTTGTTGGAAAATGTGTCCCACCTGTAAAGAAGCTGTTTATTAATAATGCAAAGGCATTAAAAAACTGAAGTGCCATCTTAGATTTATAAAAAGAGTCACATTTAAAGTTGCTTTTGTCTTTGTCAGTCAACGCTTGGCAGTTTCATAGCGGAAGAACACTTGTCTTTGGAGTCAAATCTGGGTTCAAATTTCGCTCTGCCCCTTACACCTCACCTGACGTCACCCGGACAAGTTGACTAAACCGCAGTGTGTGTTTGGGTTTCTGACTCTGGCAAATAACATCTACGGTCCCTTCCTCCGGCCAGGCCTCCGGGGAGATTTAGCGAGGCGGAGACACCCTAGGGACGCGGTCTGTGCCCATCACCCCCACCGCCCAGAGGCGTGGCTTTTTGTGCCAACGGTCATCTACGTCTCACGCTTGCAGAGCATATCCAGGGAAAGTGACAGTGTATCAAAGTGATGAGAATGCCGCCTGCGCATAACGTGGTCAACCCGGTAGTAAGAGCAGGGATGAAAACAGTGCACCGTAAAGAATTCGGGGGCCGAATGTGCGCATCTAATTTATTCCGGAGCCGAGTCCCCTTTCCCAGGGGGCCTTGCAGTTTTCCCAGTTTTCGACTGTGTCTGCCTGCTCCTATATCCATCTATTTTCATAACATTGTGAATCCTACGTAAAATAAGGACACGGATGTCCTAGAAATCTCTCCGGCACATGTTAAGGGCTCAGCCCACGTGGACCTGGTCCGGAGTGGACGGGAGCAGATTTTATGCTCTGACGTAGAGTCATATTGGCAAACAAGGGACAGTTTTTCAGCTGTGTCATTCGTCTGGCCAGGAGGACATGAGTGGAATTAGCGACAGCTGTCTTACTCTCGCCCAGACTTGAGCCAGAACGAGCTGAGAGCGGTTCTGCTTGGAGTAACTCGTTCGCATCCGCGTAGATCCTGCGGCCTTCGGGCCCATGCCTGCCTTTCCTCACAGGACCAAAACGATGACGTCTGAGCGAAGGATCTTTACCATGACCTCCGAAGGCTCCAACAGGAATACTTAACCCAACGAGAAGTGAGTCCCAGCAGCTCAGGCCGGAGCAAGTGTAAATGAGGTTCCCCGACGACGCATGTGGACGCGGAGAAACACGAGTGGGTGACGCCCCCCCAGATCCGGAGGTGAACCCCCCGCTTACCTGACTGTGGAGCGCAGGTACTGGTAGCCCGAGGACCCCCCGGTGCCGGCTTTGCTGCCCAGCATCCGGTGCACCATGCACACGTGGTTGTCTAGACAGACACACAGACTAAGTCCCTGGACGTTTTCTGCCGGACGTTCCACGTGGCTCTGAACCCGAGGGCTGGCGGTGATTGCTGCTTCCGAGAGCAGGCTCGCACCTCATCGCCCCGCCGCGTGGGAGTGCGGTGGCGCCCCGAGGGCCCCGCAGGTGCGCAGGCTGCCTGCCCGTGACTCCAGCCACCCTCACATTAGTCTGAACACCGCGACTTTCATGAGCCCCTCCTTACTCTGCCTTTAGGAGACACTTCCTCCATTTAAAAAAAAAAAAGCCCAAACTATTGAAAATACATTTTAAAATTGTACTGACACAAAATGAATAAATCTCTATGATCTATTAAAGCATTTGCTTTGACCTAAGGTTTATTGTTTTCTTCTGATTATCTGACAAAACATTTTCATGGACCTCAAAGTCCCATGAACCCTGAGGGCTGGGCCGGCTGCGTGTGCGGGATGGGTCAGCCCTGAGAGAAGTCGCTGAGCTGATTTTGCACAAAGCAATCAACAGACACACAGAGGTGGAGAAGGGATGAGGGAGGGAAGGCTGGGTGGGGGAGAAGGATGGTGGGGTCAGGAAGGAGGGGGGACTTACATCTCCACTTGGTCATGAGGGAGTCCACATCCATGAGGGAGGTCAGCAGCTGGAAGGGGACCTGGAACCTGGGCTCTTCCCTGGAGGAGAAACAATCATAATCATCATAATAATAACAATAAGAGACCTGAAAATTCAGTGTGTTAGGAAGATAGTGCATTTTATCATCTGTTGGAAGGGAAACAAATGTCCCCTTTGCCTCTGAGGGGCTGCAGCAGCTCCGGCTCACTCCTCAGTCTCCCTTTCCTCACCTCAAAGACCAGGAGGATACCACACACCTTATAGCACGTGATTAAGGAGTCTCGAACATTCCTTGACTTATAGGAAGCAGCTAGCCAGAGTCACACCTGACATTCATTCTCATTAAAAGGCAGACTTGAACACTATCTCAGAGTTTCTGGTTGATAAGAGCCAAAAACTCCTTCCAGACAAAGATAGTAAAGCATAAAAACAAAGACTGCTCCTTAAAGTGTCCTCTAATACAGCTGTTTTCCCTTTTTCATCTAAGCCTTCAACACTCAGTCCTTCTGCTGAGGACACACGAGCTTGAATGGCATATATTTACTAAGAGTTTAGGAAAAGCATCAAAAGGTTTTTTATGCTGCCATTCTGAAAAACAGATCTGAGAGGATTTAAAAGTTAAATCGAAATTGACACAACATTGTAAACTGTACCTCAATAAAAAAAATTAAATCTTAAAAAAATTAAATAAAAAGTTAAATAAAAAATTAAATACAAGTAAGACATCTAATAAAGATAGGGTTTGGGGTTTGTTTTGGTGGGTGTTTTTGTTTGTTGTTTTTGGGGGGGTTCCTTTTTACTAGCATGCTATCTGTTGCTTTGACACATTTAATTTTTGGAACACAAAGATGGGATCTACACGTGGAGGAGGAGGACGTATATGGACACCTCAGACACTTGAGACAGTGAAGCGATTTGACTTGAAATTGCCAAATAAGTAAAACAACAGCTTTTATTCATCCATTCTTTTTCATCTTATAAAACAGGAGTAACAACATTGTCAAATGACAGAACACATTTCACGACTGAGTTTCTGAGACTGATTAAACTTTGGCCCTACAGGACATTCAGTGTCACACGACACTTCGCGGAATTTAATCAGAAGGATATTTGATTGATTTGTGTGTATTTTTTTTTACATTTTTTATTGATTCATAATCACTTTACAGTGTTGTGTCCAATTCCAGTGTTCAGCACCATTTTTCAGTCATTCATGGACATATACACACTCATTGTCACATTTTTTTCTCTGTGAGTTATCGTAACA